TACCACTGACCTCAGAGTTCTACATTCAACACACTTGACCTTTCCACAGTGTGTGGTTCCGCAGACTATAGCTTTCTCCTTGAATCTCTCTTGCTCCTTGGCTTCCAGTACAACGGACCTCCTGTTTCTTGTTTTAACCCACCAATCCCACCCCCATCCCAGTCCCAGGCACTTCCCCCAGATCCTCTTGCCTCTGTCCATGGGATTTGGGTAACATGGCCTCTGAAGGACTCAGCTCATTCCTTATTCTCTCCCGGTCTTAGAAAAATTTCCCCTGGCCTCAAATCTAGCCGTGTCTTCAGAGCCCTGGATCTGTATTTTGCACCCCCCTGTCCAGCTTTTGTCCGCTTGACCTCGCTCTCTCACTGTGTTTCACATACAACATAGCCAGACCCTGCTTCTTGGTCTTCTTCATGATCCAGCGCATCACCCAAGCTAGTGATCTCCAGAGCAATACCATTCAATTGGGGGTGGTTGGGATGGAGATTATGGATCCACTGAGAATACATGTTAATCACAGTTAACATATAATCTCCTGTTCTCTAGGGGTCTTGGACTCAAAACCTCTCTGAACATGTCACTGAGGCCCATGTCCAATTTTCCCTGGGCTGTTGCCTGTATAGATGCAAGACCTTTTCAGTTGATCTCCTGACCTCAGTGGCTGTTCTTCAACCCAGAATCATCCTATTGCTGACAAATTGATGTTCTTCTAGTGCAGCACAACAGAGGACATAATGCTTCACTTCAGAAACCTTCAGTGGTTAGAGCAGTGATTCCCAAACTGGGCGCTACCGCCCCCCGGTAGGCGCTGCAGCGATCCAGGGGGGCGGTGATGGCCACTGGTGCATTTGGGGGCGATGAGTAACTGCTATTAAAATTTAAAAAAAATTAATTTCCAGGGGCTGAGTAATATTTTTTCTGGAAAGGGGGCGGTAGGCCAAATAAGTTTGGGAACCACTGGGTTAGAGAAATGCCACAGCAGGATCCGCGCTCTGTCCAGGCTCATCGTCTAATTCCCATGCTGCAGCCTCAGACCCCCAAAGCCCCTCACGATCCGGCCACAGCACAATGCCCTCCTCGGCCCGAGCCTTGCTCAATACTGCTCTCTGCCCAGCAGTGCTCCCTTTTGGGTGCTCGGTTTTCTCCTTTAAGGTTCAGCTCACATTTCCATTTTCTGGGAGCCCTTCCTCAGTTTCTTCATTTGCAGTCAGGTGCCCTTTCCTCTGAGCTCCTATGGTGAGTTAATTACGGCTCTCATACAGCTTACCACATTCGATTCACTGTGGCCTGTGTGCCTGACCAGCTGCGGCTTCCACGGAGAAGTGCACGAAGAATGACCAGATGAACCCATGAATCTCTATGTGGGACTTTACTCCTTTCAAGAACTCTCAGTGCTGGAGGGCCGCCCAAAGTACTTGTAGGGTCCACGAACCATTCATACCCCTGAGGTTACTGAAGTTCATTTGTGTTGAGAACTCTTCCTCCCTCTGCAGGCGCCACCTCCTTACCATTCTCACTGTTGAGGCCCAATGTCAACCCTGGAGGCATGCAGCTTGTCCTAACTGTCAGGTGGTAGAGCAGAGCCTCTGCTTTGCTGGTGGGGCCACGGGCACTGTAGACAAGGTATCTTTTACTTTGTCCTCAGACTTCTTTTCTTTTCTCCCTCAACAAGGAGTCCTGTAACATCTATCCTGTAGTGTTGCAGTGAAAGATAGCAAAGTAGTAATCTTTATCAAGTGCAGAGTATGGTGTCAGCCACAGCAAGTGTTCAGTAAGCAAGCCACGCTGCCTGGTGAGGTCCTGGGAGGTTCTGGTAGCTTCTAGGTCAGGCCTAATTAGCTGGCGGCACCTGGGCTAGTTATGGCCCACTCAAGAATACTGCGTTGTTTTTGTAGGGTCAGAGAATATGGGGGTGGCTACGGAAATTTTGAAAATCACAGAAAATATAGGAGACTGGATTTATGAATTCTCTTGAGAACATTAGAAGATTTGAAATTATAAATATAGTGTTTAAGAATATGAGTTTAGAGGCAAGAATCTGAATTAGAGCTCTAGCCCTGCTCTTTATATGCCGGGTGACCCCCATGCACATTGCTTAACCTCTGTTTCTCAACTTCTTTATCTCTAAAATGGAGATAATAATTTCACTTTATAGGCTTCCTGGTATTATTAAATGGAACAATATAGTTAAAGCTCTTGGTACACAGTAAGTAGTAGGTAATGTGTGTAGCTTTTGTTGTCACTGATGCTAGTTTTACTACTGTTATTGCTACTAGTTAGCCACCCTGGACTCCAAATCCCTTCTGTGCCAGCAGTTGGCACTGGATAGTAGATGCCCCCACAGTAGGGTATGGACTTTTAAGGTAGCCTAGTCCTTACTCTGGCCTGCCACCTTATATCTGCCCCAGTCTCTTAATAACAACTTTGTGTTTCCTGTTGACAGATGCCTCTCTTGGACATTCTTGCTCAAGATGGCTGTGTGTAAATCAGTCTGGACGGAAGTATGAACCTCAGGGAACATTTATCTCAGGGCTTCTTCACGAGTGTCCCAATCCATAGCTTCAGTGCCCCTGGTAGCTCGTGCTCAGCCCTCACCCTTGACCTACTGAATCAGAAACTCAGGGGTGGGCCTAGTAGTGTCTTTAAGAATCTCTTCAGCTGGTTCTGGTACCAAGTAAAGTTTGAGGACTACTTTGGTTCGAACACAAGTGTTCTCTATTCGTATTGTCTGTATTTGGTTTCATGTAAATTTTAAAATAGTGGGTTTTGTTTCTGGGCACTTTAAATGGTTTGTGAGTTCCACACTGTCCTTAAGACGGTGGTTCTCAACCTTGGCTGCACATTAGAATCACCTGGGAATCTTTTTAAAATCCTGATTTCTGGGCCTCATCCTCCGGAAATTCTGTTTCTTTGTTACTAATGTTGTGGCCCCACCCCATAACAAAGAAACAGAATTTCCGGAGGATGAGGCCCAGAAATCAGGATTTTAAAAAGATTCCCAGGTGATTCTGATGTGCCGCCAAGGTTGAGAACCACTGCTCTAGAGGCTTGCTCTGTTAAGAGTTATGTGAACTTTGACCTTTTAACTTGCTGGAGGAATGAGTTTACCTGGAGGTAAACTCCAGGCATTTTGAGAAAGAAAGTTATGGAAGGAGCTTCTTTTAAATGGATATGAAATACATAAAGTGATGGTTTTGATAAGATTGAATAATTCTTTTTTAAAATTTTTTTATTAAGTTATTACATATGTGTCCTTATCCCCACATTCCCCCCCCCCCCAC